ATCCTACAATTAGAAGCGGTTGAAAAAGCGATCTGATCCAAACCATTTTTTATAATTTTCTTCCTTAATCCAAAACACGCCCATGTACCGAACTTCATCAAAACATCCCATACACTGCGGTCTGCAGGTTGAAGACAAGAAAATAAGACAATCGGACGGGCAGATAAGCTTAGATCGACATAATAAAAGGTGAATCTACTCCGAATCCTTCTGTGTATTGCATAATTCCGCATAAACTTAACGTAGCCTTATACCACAAGTGGCGTGGGGTATAAAAATACTATTACTGCAAGTCTCAAGCAAAAAGGTATAGAACATAAATATTTAAAGTAATAGCAAACAACACGTCGACGTGTGGTTTATTATGCCAAGTAACTGTAAAAGTTAAATCAATTTTGTTGGAGAATCAGGAAATATAATACCATTACAGTGCAATTCGTTTGGAAAATTTCCCATCAATGTAATATATCAATATATCGGTATCGGAGAGAAGTTCCTTTAAAAACTTTACAATATGTTCATATGGATGTGTGCGTAAGCATTCCGGGCATATTCATTCCATTTATAAATAGATTTGTAGTTTGCGTATCGTTCCCATGAATACAAATGTGCATACATATACATACGAAATTTGGAAGAGAATATTTTGAATTTTATCTCATAAGTTTAAGTTCGGATTTTCCGCAATTTCTTCAATGCTGATGATGTTGTTCGTTCCCGTTGTTCGTTTATCAAATGCTTGTTTATTTTGTTGTTGTGTATTTGTTGTTGATATGTTTACTTTACTTTGATGATGACAACAATATTGCCATTTGCGTAAACATATCACAGGTTTTTGAATGCAGATAAACAAAATGTTGATATGGACAGAGCGTAGAGCATTGAGCAATGATGACTAGGAAAACTATTGTATCTTTTGCATAGATTCCTGTACACAATCATACCTGACGAAACTTACTATACTTGGCATGAATATTTACGGAATCAATGCATTTTCGTATTGTCTGTGCATGGGGTTCCTTTTGATCCCAGAAAAGGAAATGTATGTATGTGTGCACAATTTTCCAAACACTTTGACCAATGCATTGATGACAACAACGCATACCAACACGACACTGTTTGTGGTAAAATTAAGCCAAACCTAGACAAAATCATGCAAAAATTCTCATTTGCTAGCTTTGTTCACATTCAAACACGTACGTATTTATGTTTCCTTTTTTGCTTTACAAAAGAAAAAAAAAAAAAAAACAAATCATATATTTTTGCTCTTGCTATCTTTCATTCAGTTCCTCCTCAACGTTCACTGCAGAATTAAAAGGAAGTCATATTTTGTGTGTGGGTTTTTTTTTTTTTCTGGGTTCTAACCAAGTTTTGTAAATTCTTTGGCTGTACGCTTGAATATAACTAAATATAATTTGGTTGCTAGCTTAAATAGTTTGTATGCTTGAAAGACGATAGAAGAGACGCCAATATCTTCCCTTTCGATGCGATAACCGTTTATTTTAAAAACCCGGTATACATTCCATTGGGTTTTATAAAAACAAAAAATGGAATGAAACTTTATCTCTTCTTACTCCAAAGGTAGATGAGGAAAACTCAGCTTAGAAGTCGTACTGGTATTCAAACCAGAAACCTAGTACGAAAATTATATTCGGGCCGGTCGGTAGACATCCTGTACAACTTCGCATAGTACAGTTATTCATTCGTTTTTTTTTTTTTGAACACAAAAATACGTGAGCAAACATCAGACAAACAAATGGGCGGACAAATTTAGGATCATTATCTGAACCGATCGGTATTAACAAAAGATGGGTCTATCTTAAGCTGCTCTAGGCATTAAGCGCACCTGCGCACAAACTTAATATACCTCCTTTCATAACTGCTGAATTGTGAAAACTCCTTACCAAATATTCATAGTTCTGTGAATAAGAAAAACGTGAAAATATACCGCGGATCCACGCTTATATAAAGTTCACTAAAAAATTAAATCTGCTTTCATAGCTTCTTAAAAAAATATATAAAATATACTTAGTTTTAAGTAGACTCGATAGACCCAAAACGATTTGAATTAACACTGTCTATATCAAGTTCAAACTTTGCCAGAGAACTGGAAAAAAAAGAAGAGCTAGCGAAGGACAAGGTTTTGAATAAAACTATTTTCAATTCTCTTTAAAAAAACAAAAGAATGCCGATAAATAATCATATTTACACCTGATGCTCGAAAAAGCGGCTAATAGATTGGCTTATGAGTCAATTCTTGACGCTTAGACCAAGAAAAGCTAAAATAATTTACTTAGATGTGTGTGGCATTTTGAACACAATTAATATGTAAAAAATATCGTAGAATAAGCTGCTTGTTCTTCTTATGTGTGCCTATACTCGTCAGGAGCACGACTTTCGCCAGCTTTATCGTTTGTCGGCAAAAGGACTAAAATATTCTCCTTTTAACTTTCTCATACACTTTCACCTGAGTGACCTAGACCGAGGTAGAAAAATACCCTGCATTGTAAAAGTAGATCAGTCGCAACCATCAAAGTAATAGGTAAAAGATTCCAATTTGTTCTTTGAATTTGACTTAAAGTCTACGACTAGGTCAACAGATGGCAACTAATTCAATCAAACTAATATAAGGCCTGGGATAAATGTCTATTTTTTAGTCTAAGAATTCAATTCATTACTCTAAAATTAAAATAATAATAATAATAACAATATAACGCCTAATAAGTATATCTGGCTTGAAAAAAGCTAAACCGCAAGGTGATTCGTTTTCTACAGCTGGCAGTCATGGCGTGGTGTATAACAAGCAGTAGTCGCCACTCGCCATTCGCAAAGAGTAGCCGAATAGGTGAGAATCGTAACTATCAAGTCAATGTTCGCGGGTTCATGTCTCAGTTCGGTAGAATGTACTTTGATCGTAACGATGGTGAGTGCTTGATCATAACTTGGGCATAACACAACTGCGGCCGCATCCTATCACTTTCCCTTTCTTCTTTTGACCATCACTGCATTACACGAATAGGAGACATCCGCTGAGTGATTGGTCATATTAGAAAATAATAAATAAAAATTTTTAATGCGCTTTTGTGTGTGCCCAGAAACTATTACTGGGCCAAACATCTGGAAATTTATACAAACTTTTAATTAGCATGAGATATTGAATCGATTTAGCGATCCCTCTTACCTTCTTTTTGTCATTTGAGTCATTCACAGTCGCTAAGATTAACATAGAAAATTGGGGCTTTTTTTCATTGAAGTTCTCAAATCAACTTTAAGGGCTGTAAGCGGTTCGTTTATCAAAAAGAAAAACGAAAGGGGAGGAACTTTACTATTTAACTATAGCGGATTTGAAGAGGAAACATAACTGAATGAAAACTGAAATGACTTTTAAGGCAGCATAAGAAACCTCTTCGTAACTTAAACCAAATATATATTTCGATTGTTTTGCAGCATAAAATCAGATTTTTCACTATAGATGCCTGCGCTTTATTGAGCTAATACTTATGGAAAATATACTCCCATGATTTTATATATTATTCTATCTATAAAAAAAAAAAAACGGAGTCTCTTAGAAATGCTTTCAACGCAGAGCACGCTAAGGAATGATTGAAGATAAACTGCCATATAACACACTTATTAAAGCAGACCTTAATCATGAATAGCTTGTTCTTCTGAGCTTCTTATTCTCTTTTCATATGAATTCATACAACAATGATATAAAAATTAACCCGGAATGTGGACTGTTCTGCGCGTTTTCTTAGCCGAGAGATTGATTTAGAATGTAGGCCGTTTAGATCGGTAAACTGTTGTCTATTTAAGTACTTTGATTAGAACGTCCTTAACCGCTTCCCTATCAGGGTCTCCTGCATCACAGTCCAAGAATTTTCATTCGTTATTAAGAAAATCGCAAACTTCATCGCCATCTATCAAGCCGCTATGCGACACGTCGAGTGGCTAATCGACAGTTATGGACCGACCGTTCTTATCTTTCATCCGTGTTATACATGTTCTAGATCTTAATATTTGAATACACAACACGTTCAAACCGGCCTTAGTAAGTTGTCTAAAATCATCTGTCACATCTACCTATGTGATGTCAGGCTAAGCGGAAGGATATAAAAACTCATTCCAAATGTAGTTCATTTAAATAAATTAGCAGCAAAACCGGCTAAACTTCATACTGATTGATTCACCATGTGAGAGAGAGAGTAATAACGTTTATGCTTTAAATCATGTTTGCAATAAAAATTGAAAAAAAAAAACCGTTGAAATATAGTCGATGATCCCTACCTTAACCCAGTATAGTAAGTAGTAAGTAGTAATGCAGGGTAGAAAAAGCGAATGCAGTTGCGCTTGATAACCTGCTGATGGATTACTACAACAACTGCCATGTTTGCACAGATAATGTGCTTGGAAAATTAAAAAAAGGAAAATTAAGATTTTTCTTTACTTACATCTTAAAATTTTTGCTTTATCAAGTAAAGTATACATGTTTTTTTTTTTTTTTTTTTTTTTTTTTTTGCGAATAGCAAGGGAATAGGAAATTAAGATATAAATTAAATGCCATTTTCTTCTTTACTCAACATTAACATAATGAATGCAATATTTCTGGAAAAAAACAACAAAACATCAAACCAACTTTCACAGCCGTAAGAAAAACGAGTAGCAGTAGAGGAGATACTGTTTACCATAAAACCATAAAACAACAATGTATATACATATACATATATATTATATATATATATATATGCATATACATACATATATATATGCATATATATATATATATATATACATAATATATATAAACTAAAGAAAAGTAGTTTATTGTACGGGTATCGTATCGTCCGCAGCAAAACAAATAGAAGAAGAGAGAAGAAGGAAAGAAGTGCAAAAAAGGAGGAAAAGGAAAGAAAATATAAATCTAAGAGTTGGGTTGGTTGATGTACTTGTTCAAAATCTCATTTATTCGAATATCAAGAAAATGCAATTTTCAATTGCAGCTGAATTCGTTGCAGAAAATGGCCTGCCACGTCGTTTACGCACCGCATACACAAACACGCAACTGTTGGAACTTGAGAAAGAATTTCATTTCAATAAATATTTATGCCGGCCGAGAAGAATTGAAATAGCAGCCAGTTTAGATCTGACAGAACGGCAGGTGAGTATAATAATTTATGCCTTACAATTTAACTGAATAACATTAAATTGCAACCAAAGAATGAGTGCTTTTTCCTATAGAAATATTGCTCCTTTTTTTTTTTTTTTTTTTTTTTTGTTCATTCCGTGGCATATGTGTACTTATGACGTACATAGTAACTATTAAGCAGAAAGGCTGATTTAATTGATTTTATTAGTTTATAATCTTTTTTACTTTTCTTTTCTTTTTTTTTTTAATTGAATTATATTTTCAGGTAAAGGTTTGGTTTCAGAATCGTCGCATGAAACATAAACGTCAAACGCTTTCAAAAACGGACGATGAAGATAACAAAGATAGTCTAAAAGGTGATGATGATCAGTCCGATAGTAGTAAGTGAATGCTTATTGTATGTGATAAAGTTTTGGCTTATCCACCTTTTTTTTATAATTGACTGAGATATTTATTGCAAACGCCTACAAATCGGTAGAACTTTTATTTTAAACTTTAATGAATTTTATAAGAAAATGCAAGGTTCATTTAATCAATTATTATTGTTCCGTAAGTAGTTGCCATCTCCCAGTGGCGTCAATTAATGCTGTTCTGGCAGAAGTGATTGAGCTTAGAATAGAGGACTTTCAAGTCCTCTAGAATTCCATATGCATATGATAGTTGTAGCAGAGGTTATGCAAAGAGTTATCGAATAACCTCCCAATCGAGTTCGCCTCTTTACAGGAGAACAGTCTAGCTTGTGCGTATCAATTAAGCCTTGATTTGCAAATCCCTCTAAAGGCAGATCGTAGTCTTCTCGGAGTAGGGATATCAGTTAGTTTTACAAGTTGATTTAAAAACAACATGTTTCATAAATCGCAAAAAATTGCACCTGTGAGAAAAGAAATTAAAACTGCGCTGGGATAAGTCGCTCAATGGGAAGAGTTTACCAATGCGGTTTTGTTTTCTCTCCCTTTCCGGTTTTGGCAACATTTGATGCAAGCTGTTCTTTAAAAGAAGTACAATGTCTCGAAAACTCCTTTCTAACTCAAAGTGTATTTAAATAAACTCTAAAAACTATTGAGCCTAATAATGAAATTATCGTTATTTAATCCACAAGGGCAGATTTTATGTATATGGATCGAATAAATATACTAATTTTCAAGCCTTGAAACATCTTATCTATATATACATACAAATATATATATATATATATATATGTGTATTTATGAAAAAATGTTTATGGATATAAACATACATGCATATGTATGTATATATTCACTTCAGTAAACTATCTGTTGTTTATTTGCTGACTCGCAGAAGAAGATGAAATAAACATGCTTTAGCGGTATAAGGCGTTACATAGGATGCTGTCAAAGAAATCGTCCGATGTGGATCGTTTTCAATAGCGTTCGTTCTTGGGTCAAAACGGGTCGGTTTATTAAATTTGAAAAAGAAAATGTCTCAAAAATGTTTACCTGCTGCACACAACTGCAGAAGACGGATAGGCGGTCAGAGGGACAGACAAGTTTAGATCGATTCGCAAAATGATTTTCGATCAAGTAGTATAGTAAATAATGGATCACCTGTCCTTCTGAGTTTAGTACACATCCGCATAAACTTAATAAACCCTTGCACCTAAGGTCGCGTAGAGTACAAAAAAGGTTTGTAAAGTAAACGAAGGTTTTGCAACACTACCCCATTCGGTGTTAGTATAGCAGCAGTCATAGTTGGGAATATATATTGCACACTAAAGGCAATCCAATGCTTTTAAGCCGACTCTTTCTATTATAAGTGAGGGCGCGTTTCTTTCATCGGTAAACAAACACCAAAAAAAAATGTCAATGGTGTAGCCTCTACCCAAAAGTCTTAGTGAATGAAATAAGTTTACTATGACGAAGTTTTCTACACAGCTTAAGGATAATCACGAAGACGTAAATTATGAGGAATATGTTGGGTAATCCAAAATTGGTGATGAATTTACACAAATTTCTAAAACACTGTCCAAAATTAAAGTTAGACGCTATTAAAGTTACACGAAATGGGATTCAATGGATTTAAAACACAGATTTACTGCATTTTGTCCCAAAATTTGCTTCTCCAGAAGATCCATTCACGCTTTCGTTAATACATTCATTAACCATCAGAAATTTCGAAGAGAAAGTCCCATTTGCCCTGGATTTCTTAAACGAAAATTGCATTTTAAACATCAATCACTCGACTAACAGAGTTTAATTTACTATTTTGTGATGTTCATTGGAAAAAAAGTGTATCTGCATCCGAGAGAAGCATTATACCGACATGAAAGCGCTATCCAGTAATGCAAAGTCAATAACTCGTCTTGTATATTCTCCGTCGGTACGGAGCTTTAAGAGAATATCAGCGAAGGATGTCTATAACTTATCAACTCAGGCAATCGTTGTTAAGTGGAGCCATTAAAATGTGTCATTTGAAAAAAGTTCTCTTTACCTTAGGAAGCACTTTATGTGCATCAACTATTCAAAATTCGTGTCAGTTTTCCACAGGTGCCGCTAGATAACCAACAGCAACGAGCATCATGCGTGAGCAATCATAATATTAAAGGTTATCAATAGAATGTCTATTGATCACCGACGACAAAACGTGCCCAAGAAACGTTAGCAGCGCTAAACTGGAGTGTATTGTACTCTCCATTGCCTCTCCTACGCATTACTTCTTCTCACTATCAGTGAGCTCGGTCGAAGATATATCGTTCGTTCGACTAAAAGTTCCATTCTTATTAAGTTATTTAAAAACTAGATGCTTTCGTGGATGATTTGAATGGACCAGCTGTCCAGACATAGGAAAGATGAGAAAAATGATGAATGAATAATACTTCCTTTAAAGAAAAAAAAAAAAAAAACAAGAGAGTTTATTTAAATATCTGATAAGTGTTAGCGCAGTGAGCATAGTAGATACTAGGGAATAGTAGGTCACGCTTGCGTAGATAAAAAGATATGTTTATTAGACGTTACCGGAAGATAAAAATGAACCAATTTATCTAATTTTAATAAAGAAATTTTAAGATAATTCAAAGAAGAATGGGTAGACATTACTAAAAAAAGTAATTCAGCTTCAAGCAGCAGGAAAAAAAAAGAGAAAAAAAAATTAATAAATAAATGAAATTACTACCTCGCGCTACTGCTATCAAAGTGAAACGAAAATTACAAAAGAAACAAAACGCAAAAAAAAAAAAAAAAAAAACTAAAAAATTAAAGTTTCTACCTTTAATTTACCAAAAAAAAAAGTAAAGTTGGGAGAAAAAGTTATATAAAGCCGAACGTGAAAGCAAAGACACTGAAGCGTATCAATCATTGTCAGGAACCGAAAAAAGCAACATGTCTTCGGTCTCTTCCATACAAAATACAATACACTCGCAAACATCTATGTACATATGTGTAGATATTTGCTTAAGAATTCTGCATACCTTTCAGAAGGCAATAACACCTTTTTTTTTTCTTTTTTGCATAACAAATTGGTTATATTCTTTAGATATTGTCTTAACGCTTTCGTTATAATTTAATGCAATCATCTTGAATATGTTCTGCTTGCTTCTCTGCTTATATATATAGATTCAAACTCCAAAAAATCATGTCAAGGCTGTGAGCTTCCTTCAGACGACATACCGGATTCTACGTCAAATTCAAGGGGACACAATAATAACACCCCTAGTGCCACCAACAATAATCCAAGCGCTGGTAGCCGTAAGTTGCTTCTCCATAAACGAAGTATGTCAACGTGACTTATAAAGAATTCTTTCTTTCTTTTTTTTTTCTTTTCAGTGACACCGAACTCAACGCTAGAATCCTCAAATTTATTGGGTAGTACAAGCGTGTCAGCATCAAATATGGCCAGCGCTGACTCCAGCGTAGCGTCCACGGGCAGTTTAGACGATGACGTTGAAGAAAATACTACGAAAGTGAAAAAGAAAGAGGAAGCTTTGGTAACGAAAGATTTCTCTTACGAAAGACAAAGATATTTGAATTTTTTTCTTTTAGATCAAAAAGGAATCTGCTGTTTCAACATCGACGAAGATCTCACAATTTACTTCGTTTGATACACCATCAACGACAGTTAGCTATCGTCGAGATTCCGATACTTCTTCCCAGCATAGCCTGACGACTGCTAACACGATTAGTGGTGCCGTCGGGAAGAGACGTTATCATCAGCAATCGAATGCAGTCACTACCGCCGGTATAATCGAAACTCGTACAGCTTACTACTCCACTTACTACAATAAACAACAATTACAACAGCATCAGCAACAGCAACAACAACAACTACAATCACCACAGCAATTACACACACAGCTGCAACAACAGCCCCATGGCCAAGATTATTACGGTAAATATGATGTTGAATTTGCCGCATCGAATTCGCCGCAACCACACCATCGATTGCAACCTCAACAGCAACAGCAACAAAATACTAATATATCGACCATAACGCCGAATAATGAATATTTAAGCCCCAAACCAGATTTTATGATTATGCCGCAAGCCTCACCGCATTTGAAAGTGAATGAGTTGGCAAATGTTAGCAAAATCACTCACGGGCCCACAGCTACTTTTCATCATCCTCAACCACCGCCCCCTCCACCTCCGCCATCGTCAACGCAGACACCGGCGCAACATGGCTTACAACAAGCGTTTTACAATCAACATGGGGTGGAGTCTTCCTTACAATATCAAGGCCATGCTTATAATCATCATACACATACTCAAGTCAACTACAGCCATCATCACAGCTCACAACAGCAATCGCAACAAATTCATAACGATTTTGATATTTCCGGCAATTATTATGAAACAAAAAATCAAACTTCTAGTGTATCTAGCTATAATGCAGGATATGAACACATGAATTTCCAACAGCCAACGAACGATTTTCAGCAACATATACATCACATTGGTTCAGCAGCAGCTAGCGCTTTAGGCATTCAAATGGAGTAAGTAAATGATTTAGTTTAGATTAGAAATGCAATTTAATAGAAAGCTCAAAACTAAAAGAATCCAAAAAAACAGATCTAAGAAGTAAAGAACAAATCTGAAGATTGAAGATGAAAAAGCAATTTAATAAAAGATCCCCTTTCATGCGTAACCAAACCGGCAGCATCTCAAGTGTAGTTGCTTTATATAACAGAAGTATATCAATATGAAAGACTCATAAAAATTTATTATGCCATAAGCAACGCTAAGAGGGCGCAACTATGGCGTAAAACTTTTCCTTGCAGGTCACGGGACAAAAATAATCACCAAAGATTAATGCGTTAAGTCTATAAGTTTGTCATCATCTTGATCAGCATAGCGCTCTGAGACCTTTTCAACGATGTATGTCAATTCGTCTGAAGTCCCCTGCTGCCACTCAATAAGCTTATAAATATTATAAGCTTAGTGCGTAGGTCCTTAACACTTTACCAACCGGCCAGTCGGTCGCTGACCCTTCCTGAAACCGGCTCTGTTTAAATAATACGCACCAATACCGTTTTTCTAGTCAGTGCGATCCGTAAGCTTTTCAACATAGCAAAAAATGACTAGCACTTCAATACTGAATGACAAATGACGGTTTATGACCAAGTCAGCCATGTACGTAAAAAACCGTTTAATAGGCTATCGGTCGGCAAAGTGTAAATTTCAGTCCACATTGAAATTGCCTGACAAATACCTTATAGTAAAGAATCTCAAAGACTCGAAGATAGCTTAGTTCACTCTTTGCAGTTCTATATGAAAAGACATTTCTTTTTTAAGGCCAAATGCACCACCGCCGCCTTTGCCACCGGCAGCCGCTTCGCAGCTCAATCAAATGCAGCAAACTTTTTACAACAATCACCATCACGGCATTGAACACCAATACCAACATTCATATAATCAGCCTGGCCATCAAGCAAATTATAATCACCATCAACACAACCAGCACCAGCACAATCAGCAAGCAATGAATGGTAAGTCTGTGTTGGATTTTTAACACTGACAATAGCTAGCTATTGTAGACACAAACCGTAAGTGTTATTAAACAAATTTCATGAAGTAGAGAATTGACAATAAACACATCTCATATACTTTTACAGATAATCTATTGGATGAACATACACCTGCGCCACATATTCAAATGGCGGCAAATGGCAGCAGCAGTACTGCTAATAACTTTGTCAATACAGCAAGCTCAGTATCAACAGCGCCACCTAACGCCAACTTTCCAACCACCGCGGCGGCAAACCTAATAGAAAATTCAAATAGTTCATCGGATTTCAATTTTCTTAGTAATCTAGCAAATGAATTTGTGCCCGAGTATTACCAATTAAGTTAGTTAATGTAAAAAAAAAGGGAAAAAAAAAAAAAACTAAATCAATTCATAAAACCATAGATAGCTATGTATAGTTAGTCATAGATATGTTATTAACAGTCAAGTGTGTAAAATTTCTGGTTTTATTTAATAATCAAAAATATATGTTTGTGTATAGTAACATAAATGTAAAGGTTTAACCTTAATTATTATCATAAATCATAGGAACTTTCGGATGTTAAATGAATTTTCAACTTTTAGTTGCTTTCATAAGTAGATGTATATAAACTAGTGCTCTATTTGTAAATCCACTGCTTTGTGCATCATGTTTAGTAATCAATTTAAAAGTTTTGGGAAACCACCTGAAAAGTCTCACTGTCAGAAAACTATCTTTTAAAAAGTTACGAAACATCTTTCACTCAAAAATTTTCAATTTTCGTAAGACTAACACTTTCATATGTTTTCTTTTGAATTCGCTATACCTCCCTTTGATTTGTAAACAATTTCATATGTTTTCTTTTGAATTCGCTATACCTCCCTTTGATATCATATGTTTTCTTTTGAATTCGCTATACCTCCTTTTGATTTCATATGTTTTCTTTTGAATTCGCTATACCTCCCTTTGAT